AAAACTGTGGATGCAAGCCCACACACCTACCCCAAAGCCTGATTAATCCTAACCCGTCCTGAAATAAACAGCAATTGGCTACGAAAATGTCTCAACACAATTCATTTGCGGATTTGCTTTTGAGAAGAAAGATGTTGTACCTAGAGTCTTGTCACCACAACTGCCAGGTGCTGGTGAGGAGTAGTGTAAAGAGGACATTAAAAGAATCTTCCTTATGATGCTAAAGCCACGGCCATGAATCCCAGAAGAGGCCAGTCCAATAAGCACATCATCTTCATCAGCTCTCTGAAGCCCTGGAAGCACCTGCCCCCGCTCCACTGCACCAACCACAAAGCCAGCCAGGTCATACTCTCCAGAAGAATACATGCCAGTCACCTCAGTCACCCCCCTGCCTAAGTGGAGAAAGCAAGCAGTCAGTACTAGCTGTAAGTACACATGCTTTTGTTCTATTGTTAACATGGGAAAAAAACCCACAACAAACAAACAAACCAACCAACCCACAAAACAAAAAAACTTGTTTTATTTTTAACATGAAATCTATAGCACTAACTTTCAACCTATAGCATTTCCTAAAATAAGCAACGTATCCAGGATAGCTGCAGAGACATGTGGCCTAAGCAGCACATTCAGATATTTTTTAAATCCTTCTTGGTTTCTTACCTCCCCTCAAGACTTCAAGAAAATAAAGCTTTATGAAAGAAGAAACTTTTTTATTATTACTTCATGCTACTTATCTGGCATGTCCCTGCTATGACTGAGAAACGCAGAGGGAATGAAAACATTTTAACACTTCAAGAATGTCAGGCATCCAGTTTTACTCGCCGTTGTACAAGGATAAATAAGCAAGAATTAGGACCCGTATGCATGAATGTAAGAACTACCCCTCTGTGCTGCGGCACTTTACACATAAGAAAGAGCTTTAAGCCCAAATGCTTGCCTTTTTTCCACCAAAGAGAAACCAATAGTTCTAAAGCCATGTACTGCCTCTGCCTACAAAGTCTATTTCACTAGGAATTGTTTCAATATCAGAATCTTCAAATCTCAAAGGAGAGGAGTGTTCATACCCAGGAAAGCGCATCCTGAGTTTCTGCAAGCTTCAGCTATTCCTTCTTTGATTGTTTCAGTCACTTCAACATCAAGTTTGCCACAGGCAAAATAACTGAGGAAGAAGAGGGGCTCCGCTCCTTGAGCCAGGATGTCATTGACACACATGGCGACCAGGTCCTGACCTACGGTGTTATGTCTTTTACATACTTGTGCCATCTGCAAAACATGGTGGGAACCAGCAGTGGTGACAAGAAATACACAAAACTCCAATATTAATCAGTCAAATGAACAGAATTCTTCTTTTCCCGAAAAGTATCACAAGAGAAAATACATGCAGAAGACAACCTGGTACATTACCTAGTTTAAATCAAGAGAAAACATCTCATTTTCTTGCTGAGAAAATAAAAGTCTAGCTTGTTTTTTGAAACGTTAGTTCAAATTCTAGCTCCAGATACTCATAAATTGTCACTTTGGGTTGTCTGTTTGCGTTTTGGAATATTATGTCAAATGCAGAATAAGAGGTGTGTACAAGCAATTACAAATTCCCAGGACATTCAATCTATGGAACATTCTAACAATTTCCAAAAATAAGACCAGGTCAGTCAAACATCACTGTGTGTTCTGCTTTTTTTCTACTAATTTCACTAGGGTGTGCAGCAAAAATGAAACAGCTTATTAGGTAGATTTCTTCTTCTTCTCCAACTCCATGGGGAAAGAGATGCTTTACTCCCACCCTCCCCAAGGAGTCTTTTGAGCTCATCTGTCTCATGTCACAGACAACAGGGTGGGCCTGCTCTGGGCTCCCCTGAAAGTCAAGTCTTTCACAAAGGAATAATATTTCCCTCAGGAAGGCTGCTATTTGTTTTTTAAAAAAGTTATCAAGGTTTTTGCATCCTACAAGTAATGACACCCAATTCATATGTCACGGCTTCCATGAAGCAGTGACATTTGCAGTCCTTGATGATAAGCAGAGGTTTCTGCACTGTCAGGGATACACCAAAGTGGTTCCACGTGTGCCAGCTGCTGACAGATGCATAGCACCAGCTCACACAGAGCAATTCATCTCTGTCACCTACCACTTCAGGGTCTGAGATAAGACAAAGATGGCACATGTATGGATACATTTTCAAAGGTAACTACCTTATACTGCCACAGCTCTACTGTTGTAGTTACATGTGCAGAAAATCTCAGTACAGAAAGATGTGCAAGGGGAAAATGCAGATAAACACTATCATGGGCTTCAAAACGGTAACAGATCAGCACCTCAACAAAGTCTGAGTTTGGACTGCAAACCTGATTTGTTTCACCGACTGGTGGATTTAGAAGTGCTATGGAAACCAGTCATCCCATGTCCTTTGTTGCATTATAACATCTCCCCCCCACTGACTTAGTAACAATTTGCATAGGCATTAGCCAACTTTTTCTGGCCAAGGAAGAGTCTTGGAAACAGTCTGCATAAGCACAGTTGGGAATCTCTCTCTGCCAAGCAGTTGGAACAAAGCCTCACAAGAGCCAGCACCAATCACTTCTTCATGCTCAGAGGTGTCCAAGGATGGAAGACTGCAAAAGACTTCTGGATTATTCTGTTCAGTCTGCTGCTGATGCAGGAAGCCACACCATATTATCCCATTACAAAAGGTAAAAACACCAACTTGAAACAAGTTAAAGTTGCTGCACTTGACCAGTGAAAGGCAGCTTCAGACTTCCACCCCTCTGACGGCTGAAAGCCTTCTTCTGATTCTGTATATAAATATATTCCTGGCTCAATCTATTCTATGTGTTCTGTACAATTAGCATTCTTTGTCTATTGGCTCTTCTTCCCCTTCAATGTTTTTCTCTTCCATCCTTCTTTCCCCACTGCCCAGACAGAGGAAATCCCGCTACCTCTCTGCATACAATGTATTAAGCTAAATCTGACAGTTATTTCAGCAGGCCCCTGTACTCCTCTGAACTGACCTTCCTCAAAGCCAATGGACCCTCTGTTTTATAGTAGAAATTCTGGTTCTTAGTTTCTCGAGTGCTCAGCCAAAATTTTTGGTTTATTATGATTTCATCACAACATACTGAGAGCTTCCATGTTCTCAACAACATGCAAAGGCCTTACTCAAAGGATCATCTACAAAGTTCAAATGCCCATTGCAGTGGACTTGGTATGTGCTGATGACTCTCAGAAGGGTGCAGATGGTGCAAACTGCTGTGTACAACAGCCTTAGGAGAGAACATCAGCTTTGCTACAGTCAAGTTGCAAGTTACCTGCAGTTTAGGTCCAAGGCCTTTAGTTTGAGATACCAAGATAGGATCATCATAACCAGATGCTTTCAAGTCAAAGAAACCAGCAAAGCTTCCTACTTCTGAATGAATGCCTGCCAAGTACAAATATGTCAAATATCACTTTTAAGGGAAGGAAAAAGACCCCAAACCATCATCAAGGCAAGTACTGCAAATCATAGTTTCTTTGGAGAAGCCAGCACTGTGTCCACTGACAAAAACATGCACAGCTTTATGAAGCATGGATCCCAAAGTCTGATATTTCATGGTGTTGTACAAAGATCGTTATTATTCTGTACTTGTGTCCTATGGATTGTGTATAGCAAAGGTTAAGCATTTCACCAAACTGTTAACAGTTTGCCTTTTTTCTTTATGCAGCTACTTTTTTTAAAAAAAAAAAAAATTGAGGGAAAAAAATTGACAAAATATTTCCCTCAGTAGATCACTGCCAAGAGTAAAGCACATAGTCTGAAAAGCAAAAAGTTCAGTGACTGTTAGTCACACCTAAATAACTGTTTGGATGTCATATACACAGCTGGTAAGATCACTTCTGTCCAGTGATGAATAAAAAACTATTCCATTAGTCGAGGAGTTACTCTCTTAACTAGGCTAACCTTGAAAAAGTAAAATGATCTCCATGATAAACCAACTAGTTTTTAATTAAGCAAATGAGGAGTGATGAGAAAGATCTGAGAGTTTTCTTTCTTTGTGGTGACCCCAGCCCAGCTTCTCAAGCCCAATTTCAGTGTCAGGAATGCATTGCTCACCTCCTGGGAAAAAAAAAAAAAAGTTCTGTTCTATTCAATATACTAAAGAAATTAAAAAATTCTTCCCAGGCTTACCTGGTCTGGTACCACTTACAGTTGATGTTTCCAGCTGATGAAACAAAACACCACTGGTTACAGCTTCCACACGTCTCTCTTTGTATATTAGACCCCTGTGAAGAGTATGGACATGCTAGCAGCAGCAGTGACATTTTCTGCATAGATCACCATTCATCACACAAACGGGAATAACAGGCAGAAAACTTTGGACTAGCATCTATTTGCTTACATACAGAGACTGTTTAAGAAGCCGTATACCCCGATGGCCAATGTCCTTCCTGTAAGTGGCACCCTTGAAACGTATGGCTGCTACACCCCTGTTGGCTTCTCCCAGGGCTTGCATCAGGTCCTCCTTAACAGCAGTAATGGAGAGGACTCTGCCACCATTTGTCACCACTCTCCCATCCTTCAGCGTTGTGCCAGCGTGGAACACCTGCAGCCCTAACTCTTTGGCTTGCAGCAGCCCTACAAAAGCAAAAGGAATTCTCTGAGCATGTTAAGTGGCACACTGTGTTGGCAAAGCAGTGAAGAGTGAACCCCTTCCTTCAGCCAAGGGAGAACAACAATACAGGTCCCCCACCTTACCTTTTTTCTGAGAAACAGAAACTAGTGAACAGTACCCCACTCCACTGGCCCTAGGACTCCCTTCTGAGATGTCCAGTGAGGACACAGATCACACAGAAACAGGGATAAGGGACCCAGGAGCCACAACAGGACATATAATTACCCCGTGACAGGGCAAAGCTGTGCTGTGCATTGTAATTGTGAATAATTTGTGTGGGGCCTTCCTGTATGAAATTACAATTAATAGCAGCTTACTGGCTGTATTCTCCCCTCTCCCTGACCCTAAACCATTAATGCTAATGTTACCTCAGCACTGCCCTAGCTATTCTGCCATGCCCACTCCACACAATTCCCTGCCACTCCTGGAATCATTGCTCCACAAACACTTGGAGGTGGCTGTCCAACATCTAAAACAAATGATGCATTTTGTTCATTTGTCTCCATATATTTTCCCTTTGGAGGAAAGCAAAATTGTTCAGGGTTTTTTTAGATTCCTATTTTGAGAAGAGGATAAGGAAAGAGGACGAACTGCCGCCACCACCTGGAAAAAGCAAAACAAAACACAGTTTTCCCCTTGCTATCAGCCAGATAGAGTTTATAAACCAGTAAAAAGAACCTTTATACTTGCTGAAGGCACAGTGTGTTACATTGCTTACAGCACTGCCCTGACAAGGTCAAAGCTGAGCCCCAGCTGGCCTTGCTGCAATGGAAACCTAACTCCTCCTCATGCTTTAAGGAATACTCCAGAATAAAATGTTTGTTAAGCCATTAGAATGTGGGAATCAATGTGAAAAGTAGGAAAAAAAACCAAAACAAAACCAAACCAAACCAAACCACACCACACAACTCCAGAGGCTGGAGTTTAATAATAAAAGAATGGATCTAATTTGATTGTTTCGACTTTCGGGGTTTTTTTGTGATTAACATGCAGAGGCGGACATACCACCTCTCTCCTAAAGTTAACAAGCAAGAAGTTCCTGAGTCTGACTAGTGAAAGATAGCTCACTAGCAGAAAGATTCATTCAGTTATGTGGTTTGGATCTTTACAGTTACAGAAATGCAGAGTTCCCCAGAATATCACTGACAAAACAAAATAGATACAGTGAGGGAACTGGAAGATAAGGGTGGGTGAGGAAAACATGACAACAGAAATCTTAACAAGTGAAAAAGCAATATAGCATGACCTTCTCCCTGGGTGATGTAGGGTAGCTGGAGTTCTGACAAAAATAAGGTAGCCTTGAGACAAGGTCAGTTGTCTAGATTACTTTACACAAGGCATAGTGTTGGACTAGCAAGGCAGCAGCTGAAGGGGAAGGGAGTAGTTCTGCAGCAGTTCTGTTTTTTAAACATTTTCAAAATGTTAATGAGATAGTAAACCAGAATAATTTTAATAGAGAAAATGAGTATCGATCTAAAGGCCACATGCCTACCTTTCCATAAACCCTTCCAGCTCTATGAAGAAGAGCTCCTTGTTAGTATCACACAGCAGTGAACATGGCTGGCTGGCACAAGGGAGAAGGAACCATACTGCTGGTGGAGATGTGCACTGCTCCCATTTTAAAGGCCATTGGTCCTCAAGTCTCACCTTTATCACCTGGTCAGGCATTAGCTAAGATAATCCGACCTCCTGGCAAGGAAGCAAAGCTAGGAAAAAAGCAGTCATGTGCTGACAACATTGCAGTCCATGATTCCAGCACAGTTTGGTCAAAGTACTCCATGTGGATGCAGCAGAGCTATTCCAGGAGGACACAATTCCCCATCACCTTCTTATCTCAGCAACCAGCTACAAACAGAGTAACTGTAAATGACACAACTTTAAACATTTAGCCCCTGTGCTACTTTGGACAGGCATACACTCTAGTTAAAAGATCTCACTGAGCAGCTACCTGTTCCCCGAGGACATGGAGTGACAGATGAAGGCAAACTCAGGTAGGGTTTGAGGGGTGGGATAGAGGAAAGATGTAAAGACCCCTGGGAGAGGAGGTAAATGCAAACCTACTGAAGTACTAAGCTGAAATTAAACTCTAAACAACCTACTGCAGTTACCTGTTACCTCCATGCCTTTGTCATAGTCTCCTGGGTATCCTGGACTTGCCATGACCACACACACAGCTGTACTGTTTTCTGACCAGGCTGGCATGAAGCTGCAGAGTTTGCCATCAATTGTTGCTTGAATCACTTCATAAAAATCATTTTTAAGGAGTGGAAGAATTACCTGCAGAAAATTTTCATAGTGGTAGAAGCGAATTTTTATTTTGCTGACTTGTTGAAATTCAACTGGGGAAAAATTCAATTAAAAATCTGTACCTGCCAAACTGAAGATGCTGTATTTTCCTAAACTAGTACCTTTGGAAACTATAGGCGAGCATTAATTTGCAGTATCTTTTTACAACAATCATAAATTTACAAACATGAGATGTGAGATTATGTAGAAAAAATATCAATGTAGGCCCCTCCTATTCTGCTTCTATCCAGAAAAATAAAATATGAGGAACGGCTCTTTAACTTAAAGTTTTTAACACAGTCTTTAATTCACAGAAGCTATCTAAAATATGAAGTCACCTCATACATTTTCTAAGACATTTGCATTCAGATCTGCACGTTCAGGGGAAGGAAGACATAAATCCAAATATAGCATGCAAATTTCCCTGGAGGCAAGCTAGAACAGTCAGAGGTAAAAGGATGAAGCATATGTAAGTTTCCAGTATCTCTCCCTCACCTGGCACTGAGGGTCACCAAACTGACATTTAAAGTTCAAAACTTTCACACCATCTTTGGTAAGCATTAAACCTGTTTGCAGCACACCTGAACAGAAAGAACACAGCCAAGCAAATTAATTTAAACATTTATTTTTCAAGAACTTCTTTAAATTCAGTGCAGTATTTTGGAATGTGGGATGCATTGCTGCAAATCATAAGGAATTAGGAGCAAGCATTTTGTAAGCACTTACACACAAGTCCTAATAATTTCACAATAACTAACAAAGTGGTAAGCAGCAACCTGAGGAACATTGCATCACACTTTGGACTGAAAAGAAGAGAAAGCAAATTCTCTGCATTGGAAAGTGGAATTCTGCATTCTCTTATAGCTCTCTAAATGCAGGCATTCAGAGATCACAAGGCACTGACAGGGTGGAAGAAGTAGTTCCCATAAAACCCTATTTATTTCACAGACCTTGCCATTTCTTACCATTGCGTGCACTATTGTTATGCAAAATACAGACGTGTAACTCTGTATTTCAGCCAAAAATACCAAACCAAAATTCACTGCTGCTACTAACAACCAGAACCAAACACTTATTGAAGCTGGTCTTGAGTAATGGACATACATGCATAAGGTGATCTAAAGCAGACCTTTCCTTGTGTGATCAGAAAGCCAATCTGCAGGAAATAACAAGTGTTAACTTTTAAACCCCACAAAGCATCAGGTCCTCCAGCATCATCATGGAGATGCTCAACACCCACTACGTTCTTACTGCGGGCTCAGGGCACTGTGAAAAAGGTTACCAAAGAGCAGAGATCACATCACAGACTGGAACCCAACTCTTGACACGTATGTGATCTTGACAGTCTTCAGTACCAAAAGCAGCCATTGGCACTAAGTGACAGCTGTGAGAATCATCATCTTTTTTTCAAAACAGAGCTTAAGACAAAAAGCATAGGAAAACTTACATCGCTGTATACAGGAGTGAAGATTACAACTGTACTTGAGCATATATTATACCCTGAACTAGAAAGTGTCTGGTTGCAACTGTTTTAATAAAAAATATTTAATAAAAAATGCAGTATGTTTTATGGAGAAAAGACAAAAGTTCTTCTCTCCAAAGGAAGAGCTATAAACTAAACCCATGAGGCTTAATACTGTGTGAGAAGTTAACTACTTTTTTTTTTTAAAAAAAAATATTATTTGGAATTCAAAACAAACTAACCTTGATAGGACTTTACCTTGTTTTTCAGTTGAATGCTTGCTTACCTACATATGCTGTTCCTTCGTGTCTCATGTTATCAACAACATGTTGAAGGATAGCACCATTGATTTGCTCTAGAAGAACTTCTGGAACCTGATGATTAACATGAAACCGATTGAGACAGTGATGACATTAGCTGGACTAGCTCATAGGACCTGGAAGGACTGGGGTAAGTAAATGCCCCAGATATGTTTTCTGCTTTCCCACACAACCAGGGCAGTCCTTCCATTAGGGTGCTCCTGCCTGAAGGATAGATACACTGATCCACCTTCTCCCAAGACCTTTTGTTTGGTTCTTTCCTTAGAAGGCAAATATTGGGGATGTTTGAGAGACTGGAAACCTGGGCTATGCATGGTTAGATTGTTCCTGTACTTCCAGAAAAATATGCTAATAATGTACTTGAGCAGCAGTGTATTTAGAATAATTAAGTCAGCTTTAAGAATCAACAACAAGAAACCCAAGGTTAGGTTCAAGACATGATGACTCCAGGCATGCAGGGAATTTTGCTAGGACATTTCAAGTGATGCTAATAGGAGCAGAGAAACTTGGGAGTAATGGAATAGGTAGAGAAGAGACAATTCCTCAGACCACTAGCTCATTAAATCCTAAAGAATGACTACTAAAGTGTGAGCCCTGTATCACACGTATGCAAGCAAAGCATCAACCAGTTCCAGAAGAAATCTGGACTGTGTGATAGAAACAAGATTGTGCTCTAAAGGAGGTATCTTAACCACAGATGTGATCACCTTAATGCAGGCTGAGGGAGAGGACGGCTATACCTGAGGAACCGGGCAATAGGCTCCCATCCCTCCAGTATTTGGACCCTGGTCACCATCCAATAATCGTTTCTGGGCCTGGGCTGGGGGCATTGAGGCAACAGTGACACCATCCGTGAAGCACAAGCACTGTTGAAAGATGCACACAACATAGAAACAGTGACAATGTCCTAACCCAAGGCAAGGTAACACTGCCGGTCACAGGCTGAGGCTCACGTCTGCTACAAAAGCTTAGGAATCAAAGACAGAAAGCAATAGGATACACATACTGTGCTGCAAGCCCACTGACCTGAAGGATTCATTGAGCTTTCTTTCTCCTTTTTAAATAACCTCAACAATTACTTTCTGATGAATTAGACCTTGACCTATCAGTCATGTGGACACATGCTTACCTTCAGGCATGTGAACAGTCTTCACTGACTTGACAGGATTAGTCATACCTTTCAAGTTAAACCTGTGTGTTTGCAGATCTGGGGCCTGGCTGAGTGTGAGGTATTCTCAGTACAGGACAAACCCTGCACAAAGAACTCGGTCTCAGTTTTCACATGGCATATAATATGTGTGCCTAGGTTTTATCCTGCTGCTAAGTAGCACTCTGTGGTAAGAAAAGTGCTAAAATAGGTGCTAAATATTGGCAAAAAATTATCGATGTAATGAGAATTACCAAGATAAAGTTTACACAAACATGCCTTAGGAAAAAATAAAGATAATTTTCTACCTAAAAAGATCACCGTAATCGAAATTTTATGGCTAATGTAGAAGAAAATTCTACTGACAACATGCATTGATTTGTATGACATCAAATTGCTTAGATTGCATTTTTATTTATCTGAGTGCAAATATAACGAAAACCTCATTGAAACAAAAAACTTTTCTGTTTATGCATGGAGCATAGCAATAATGACAAAGAATAAAATAACCACATCATCGATCACATACAGAAAGTTCTTCCCCTTGAAGAAGTTCCTCAATAACAACCATCTCTCCAAACATTCTGTCCTGTACAAAAGAAAAAAAATTCTTCAGTTTGCAAATATGGCATCTGCTAGGTAAATCCTCTCTATTTTCTTTTAACAGAAAAAACAATGTATATGAAAAATACCAGCTTTTTTTTTTTCTTGAATTCTTGTATGTTGAGCAAAGCCAATAGAATCTTACTTGGAGATAAGGAAAAGACATTAAAATGCACCTTATCAGACCCTAGGAGACAATGTAAAACATAAAAGTTGGAGGGGCAGAGCAAAATTAAAAAGTTGGAGAGGCAGAGTAGCAGGACTCAGTGCTGGAACAAGAGTTCAGTCACAAACTCAACAAAGCCCTGTTCACTGCCCACTGCCTGGGGCAAACATGAGGAATTTGAGCTCAGAGAAATTCCTCAGCCAAATGGGCAAGTTTCTCCTGAAAATACTTGGATGTATTTATACAAGTAAATTTATTTATATTTATACAAATAAATAGTTTGCTTCCTGTGGCCAAAATTACAAACTCACAGGCTATAGGACCACAAGACTTAGATTCTCACTGAGTAATTAAAGATTTATCCACCTGCATAATCTCTTGGACAGCTTTGCAGGCTTCCTCTTTGCTGGCTGCAATAATCACTTCTTTTCTAGCAGCAGGGCCCCTTGCCCGTACAACTCGTGCAGGAAAGTCTGTGCTTTAAACGAGAACAAAACTGAGATTCAGGCATCCCCACTGAAAATACAATTTTTAAGCTGAATGCTGCCCACATTCTTCCTTTTCTTTTTCTGAGTGGTTGAGGAATAACACATTCCCTGCTAGGCCATCCTGTCATGGACATGAATCAACTCTGATGGCCCTCGGCACAGGACTGTGAACAAGAAATCCATGAATTTTGTTGTTGGTTCTGACACCAACTCAATGTATATTCTTATAGATGTATATAACATCTCACAGTTTCTCCCTCTTTTCCCTGAGCTGGTTTATTATTTTACTCCTGTCATAGGTCTGGAAAGATGAACTCATTGATTCACAGTTTTATAACACCCAGGTTGCAGTACATAATCCTAGAAACTATGGAAGTTCTGTTTAGGGTTGTAAGGCTAAGGCTGAGTTAGTTCTTGCATATAAAGGATGTGTTAGAACTAGTGTGTTATACACTGTAGGCCCAGCATTGCTCCACTGACTCTTAAACACAAGCTGAATCTAGAAGAGGAAAAAGAACAAAGCAGCGTAACGTTAACCTGTTCTAACTGCAGTTTATCCATTCCCCTCTCTCCAGCCTATGGGCAGCCAAATAAAATGTTCCTTTTGGAGAGCTGATTCTACACACTGCTAGCCTGTTTTCTGAAACAGCATCTCATTCCTCCTTTCCACATTACGATTTATATTAGGGTAAATCTCAACCCTAGATTTATCCAGCAGCCAAAGCAGGGTCACACAAAGCTCCCTTTCTCCACATCTCAGTGTGCTGGTCTGAGATACAGTTTTCCTTTTTGACTCTTATGCACACTTACAGACATACAAGTTGTTGGTCTGTTTCTGTACAGGGCAGCGATACAGACTAAATGCTGTTACAGAGCAAAGTCAGTGAAAAGGTTGTTTTTATTTAGAAAAAAAAAGTTCCACCAGATCATACCACATGCAGCACATGACAGCAAAGACAAGTAGCCCGTGAAACCAACACATAGCCACAGAGCCGTGCAGCTGAACACAGCAGCTGCTGTGAGACCTGACCAAAATAGCCACAGAGGTAAGTTACTCTCCCATATGGATCCTCAGTGACTTCAGAGGCTTTACTGCTCGAAGCAGTTGCAGAGCTATGCAGTTACATTTCTCTCGCCATGTAAGTGAGATGCTGCCTACCCTTGAAGAAATAAGGGGATCCTCCCTAAGTTATGAGTATTTGACCAGTACCTCCCAAATCACTCCAGAGATAAAATTTTGCTGGTATCTGTGTAGAAATTACTTACAGAAACATTACTGAAATATTTTTTCAGTCACAATTTTTCTGCCTTTTAAGTGGCTAACTAGCATCCTGAAGAAGCTGATCAAAGGGAAGAAGAACTGTGATCTGTGAACACAAAAACCAACCTAAGTTCCCTGCACCTTCACCATCTGTGTCTAATTACAAAACTAATTAATTCAGTAGCTACTTGAGGACAACAGCTCAAAAGTTACCAAGTTCTAGGTAAATATCATGGGTGAAGGCCAAACATGTAGATAACTCGACAGAAATTTCCAGTATCAAAATATTTACCTGATAATAAACCTACAAGCTTCCTGGGGATTCGTGAAGGCTTTCCATCTTGCTGTTGGGATCCCATGTCGATCCAGAAAGGCTTTGGCAAAACTGGTGTTGGATGCCAGCTGGGCTGCTTTTGCAGATGGTCCAAAACACCTAACTCCTGCAGCTCTCAGGTCATCAACAATCCCTAAGTATCACAAATAGCAAAAGAACCAAGTTATCTCTTTGGAAACAAACTCATTTTGACAAAAGGAAAACCACATAATGATTCTGGCACTCTCTTATACTTTTCTTTGTCCCAAACAGTTAATTCATCCTTAAAACAAGGCTCTGCACATCCAATTACCTGTTTCATCGTTTGGTTTTAAGAGGTCTTTAGCTCTTCCCATTACTAAGCACTGTCACAGTTACCACCCCATGACCACTGTTAGGTACTTCTGTTCACTATTGAAGACATGGAGATCTTCCTGTACCACATTACAATAAATGCATGTGATGCTCTAGGCACTGCTGCATACAGCAACAACGTTAGGACTGTCACAAGAAAATTCTTTATATAAAGGAAAGCAGAGCAGAAGACACAAGACTTGTAAGCATTAGCAATTGTTGTTCCTGCATGATTTCCCCTGCTCGTTTCTAACATTCAAACAGCAGCATACAGCTAGGAAACCACATACTTTAAATTACTAGCATTTACATGTACAATATAATCCAAATTTTCTTGCTTTTCAGTTTAATTAAGCCAGTGTGTATCCTAGGAGCCGAAAGAGGTTATAGTGAAGTAGAATTCAAGGTGCTGATTTTTACAGTGAAGTTAATTTATTTCAGCCTTACCAGCTGCCAAAAGAGCTTCTTGTCCGACTAACACAAGTCCAATGTTATGATCTTTGCAGAACTGGATGACAATAGTGTGATTGCTCACTAATACAGCTGAAAAGGAAAAGGAAGTATAATTAAGTTAGCACTGTAAGTAAGAGATGGGAGGTGAGACTGCCATTGTCTCATCCCCCTAAGAAGTATGATTACCATAATGAAACAGGCCATGAAGGGCAAAGTAAAACAAACACTATAACGGTAACAGAGTTCAGAAGAAAAAGTAAACATTTCCAATTTGCACTGCTGTTTTTAATACACATCTGCTAACTTATTAAATGCATTTTATCTGCTATGTCATCAATATAAACTTTTAAAAGCTGCTTATCATAACCGAATAAAGAAATTAAAAGATAAACTGTAAGTTCATAAGGAAACTCAATTTCAACATCTGAGCAAAGATTTACTCAGTGCCAGTGCATGATGTAGCTAAATTTAGTTGAACAGCCTAGCCTGACACCAGAGAAGTTTTTATCCAAAAGTCAACAACATGAAGCCCTTGGTTCCTCCGTCAGCTTTAACTAAAATTATGCAGTAAATTCAAGCACAACAGTGGTAAGAATGAGACGAGGTGAGGTGTAGAAATACAGTCTCATATAAGCCTCCCTGTCTTAAGAAGCTAGGCTAAAAATAGATAATGAAATTTTATTAGGCAGTTCTAAAATTCAGAAACAAAACAAACAAACAAAAAAGTGTCTTAAATAATTTGTGGTACTAGTACAAGAACAGAGTAGTTGTTATCCCCTACCAACTCAACACAGATGTGGTCAGTTTTGTTTCAGTTCCAACACCCATATTACTGATTGCTTGGTAGAATATTTCCACCCCCCCACCTTTTTACCTGAATTTGAAATTTTTCCATTGTCAGCTGTTCCTGCATTTCCTGGAGCAACAAACACATGTTTTACATGTGGGGACTGGGCCAGCTTCCAGGCTAGTGCATGCTCTCTCCCTCCACTGCCAATCACAAGCACTCGATCAGCCATTAACCTGTGCAAACCCATAATCATCATATGTAGTATTACCTATTTATTTCACAAATCCGTGGAGAAAGACAATATAAAAATTATATGTCTCACTTATAGTTGGGACGTAATATCAATCCAGTTTGTATTAGAAAGGTTTCTGTATGACATCTAAACAAAGTGGTTGTATCAGTAGTGTCACTGGGTGGATGCATCATTCATGCTTGGTGTAAATACTGAGAACAATGAAAGCACTGAGAATTTCTTCCACTTATTTCAGCACAGTCAAGATTTCCTCTCCTAGTATCCAGGCTGAAAAAAACTTGCCATGACTAGCTCTCTTCAAGTTCTTTGCACAGCTACACAAGATAGGAAAAAAAATTTCATACAAATGCTCTAAGTAGCTTACCAGATAAATATATTTCAAACTGAATACCGTGGTCCATATGAAAACTTTTATGACTGTAAATATCCTCAGTAATAAATGGCAGACAGTTTCCAGAACAGATTTTATACTTTGACAATTGCTAAGAGGGCAACTTCAGCAGAACAGTATGCTCAATAAAAAAACAGCTGTTAATTTCACTAGCATACTGACATTTAAAAACACTTCCTCAATAATATTTCTAGGCAAATTAGTTTTGATTAGTTTCAGAAATATTATCATACTTAACGTAGGTCACATCTGCAAACTTAATTTTTCTGCATGTACTGAATGTGGACAAATGTCAGAAAGAAAAAACACCCCAGAACATGACCTTTAGGGAAGATGCCAATGGCATAAACCAGTCCTCACCCAGGAAATAGATCGTAAATTGAAGATCCCATAAAACAGCAGCTTGGCAAGCAACATGCCAGCAGGCTTTTCCCAAGAAATCATAAACATTTGGTTTAGTGCACTATATAGCTTCCAAAGGCAAACAGAACCTAAACAGTGACACCGAGGTATAATATTTCAGAAAATATGTTCATAGAACTGTGATAAATCAATAGTCATGTCTAGAGTTCCTGACACAGTATTAAGATGTCTTAACCTAATATCAACAAATAAAATTTACCTATATATATTTTCATAATTATTAAACCATCCAAGTAAGTCCTTCAAGCAGCCTGTCCTTTGACTGTTGTGGATTATCTAAGAGAATAATTTTAAGTCTTAGGTACTGTGGTCAAGGCAGATAAATACTTAGTAAATCCTATATGCTCTATCGATTGCCAGACTGATTTCCTTGCCAAAGACTTTTCTAAGTCTTTATACTGTGTAACTATCCAATAGGTCAGACTGCGCCTTTCCTTTTGCCACTATTTCACAAATAGTTCTGGAGTCACTTGAAAGTTGTGGTGAACTTAAAAGCAGAGGGTTACAACCGCTCTGTCTCTAACAAAGCCATCAACAGGCTGTCTGCAAAGCTTTGTTAAACACCATGGTCCAACAGTTACTAATAAAAAGCAAAGCATTTGTAAAAGCAATATTTTTTCCCCCCTTAAATATAACTTCACAAGTCACTGAAGTTTTCTAAGGCAGAACAAATTAAAGTTCCTGACTGGGAAGAGAGTAAAACCAAGCAGTGCCTCCTGCCCAGTGGAAGAAATGCACATTTCCATTCCACATCATAGTGAGGACAGTAAAGACATTTTTTCACAAAGCAAAACCAAAGCACGCTGCTAAGACAGCTGGTCCTGGAGGAAAAGCTGTAGAGAGGGGTGTCTCACTTGGATCGTCTTCCCTTACCGTGTCAGCTGTTTGTCCACACAAAAGGCTGACGAGTCCTCCAGACAGATTCAAGTTCTTCCTTCAGCTCCTGCTTCAGGTCCAAATGAGTTCTGATCTCCTAAAGCCAAGGATAAGGGTGAGAGAGCTAAAGATGCAGGCAGACCTTCATGCTGCCCTCTCCTCTTTTATCCTCTGATCTAACGGGAGGATCCCCAGCAGGATCCCCTTAACGCCACCCACCCTCCACAGCGGATCTTCCCACAGACTTTAGCAGCATGGACCATTCTCTCTTTCCATTTTTCCTTAGCTAACAACATAAACTACTCCTCCCTATCACCCAGTCCCACCATGATAGTAGTATTTAACCCTAGGGGGAAAAAAAAACAAACAAACAAACTAGAATGTTGTATCAAAAACAGTTGCCCTGTTACGAGCAATTTTATATCCTCTGACAAATAAAGAATCTCAAAGACAACTTGCAAAAATGGAACACAGCTTTCACGATCTACAGTTAACAGAAACACTGGTTAAAACCTGCACATATAACTCCCACAGAGCTATTATTTGTAGTGGAACATATCCATTTATATATAAAGTTTACTTTAAGATCTAGGACACACAGGAATTATGCCTCTTTTAATTACTACCCTTTTTATCTTTTGAAGACATTTAATACAAACAGTGCCAGAGATAATGTATATAATAATTGTTATTTTATTCTCCACTGGTTCCTACACTATTGTCTTCACCAGCCCCGTCCTTTCACAGTAATATCTGAAATCCTTTGGTTAACATTCGGCAGGCTTGCAATGCTATCACTCTTTACTGAAACCAAAATTACTACATCCCAACATAGCACTGAGCAGTATTTGTGTGTCTAGGCAATCAGAAAGAAAAAAATACATTAATGGAAACAGAAACATTCCTTTCACACTACTAAAACAATTTTGTAAAGGAAATCTGAAAAGTTTGTTTAGAACTTCTATGGAATTAACAGCTTGTGCATGATTGAACAGGTGCTGAACAGCTACTTGAACCTCCCAGTTTAAGGAGACATGCCTGCTACAACAGCATTAAGCATCACTTACCGCCTATGTGTAGACTGTCTGACACAGATTTACAAACTTGCTGTACTGTATCTTCTACCCGTGACTGAATAGGAAACTTCTATAAGAAAAGAAGAGTTCTAATTCTTATAAGATAATGTCTTTCTCTTTTGCAACAGTTTTTGGAATTTTTCCTTTTAGTCAGGAGGTTGCGACAATTCATATTGGAAACAGAACTCGTACAGCCCTGAAACATTTCTCCGCTACATGGCTGGCCAGCAGAAAATAATTTAAGCTTGCATTCATTCCAGCAGATCAATTTGTACTCCAATTATATGATCAAATTGTTTTCTTAGGTGATGAAGTGAATAGGCAGCAGAGAAAGACAATATACACAGAAACTTCCAATATCAAAATCTGGCTTCTACAGAAAGTAAATCTGAAATTTGGAAAAAAAAAAAATGTAGAAAACCATTGCCTAATGAACAGAGAAGAAAAGCTTTCTGAAACAATTTTGGTGTTATTTGCCAAGATAGCATACTGGTAAAGCTGTAACAGGATGAACAGTCAGAGTATGATACTGGAAGCTGTAAAATTAAGCAGATCACTTTGTATGATCATTGCTTCCTTTCAGATGTCAATGCCACTGTTTCACTGTTTGGATACACAGCACTCTCAACCATACCCCATCTAGTACCATTAATAAAAAGACACCAGGGGCTTTGTTGATTCATTAATAATAGATGTTGGGTGTTCAGAGAGGAATCAAGATGTTATTAGTCTTCCATCTGCTGGGCCTTTAGTTCATTCATCTGGGTCCTCCTTCGCAGTTCTTCGATGAGAACTGTTTTTTTGGCTTGGGGTTTCTTTCGCTGAAGTTGCCATACTCCAAGAGCCAGCACAGACACCACCCACACACGGAAGCCGTAGGAAAACCCACCAGGTGCTCCCTGCCCTGCAAGGCACCTCTCTGGGTCACCACAGGTCGGGCACAGACTGTTTGGTGAGCCCAACGAAAGCCAGTTTACCCTGCAGCTAGCATGGCTGCGCAGAGACAGCCACAGCATTTTGAAGACCGCGTTAGGAGCACTAATGAGGATGAGAGCACTATGAAAGACTAAGCCTTCGTCAGGGCAAGCGTTGCAGGGGATGCAATTTCACCAGCCCGTGAAGAGGCAGGAGAACTTGTCACCTCCGAAGGTGGAATTCACTCAGGATAACAAAGGATAATAAAATAGTCTACGTGTGTAGCAGCACATATCAAAACAGAACAAGAAAAACCTGCGGCTCCTTTCACTCTCAAGGAG